AGAGAGGTGAGGAGGAAAGCTCTGCTTTGAGGTAACAAGGGCGGTGAACGAGTGTGGCCAAGCTCTGCACTGGAGGGAGGAAGAGGAGGAAAGCAAAGAAAGCAAAGTGCCAGAGGAAAGGCAATTGTGGGACTTCTAGGGGATCATAAGAGTAATAAAAAATCACAATACAATGATTTTTCCAGAAAAGTGCAGTTCGGGGAAATAAATCTAAAGCAGCTGCTTGTAATAAAGACCCTTGAAAGTGTCAAATCTCTCCCTTGTACCTCACCCGGCTACACTGTGGGAAAGGCGTTCAGACATGTAGATGGACAGGTGCACAATATGGACACATCAGAAAACCTACACACACCCCCACACACACACACACACACACACACACACACACACACACACAAACACATATACACTCATACAGATTATTGCAAAATTACTGAATGCTTTGTTACACTGAAGGCACATTTGTATTGGTTGACCTAAGTGTCAGTTTATGGTTTCAATGCCAAAATAAGACTGGATTATTGATATTATTTGGCTCTAGCTCACATTTAAACACGAGTCCTCATAAAAAGAAATATGTACACTGGACAATAGTGGCATGTCTGTGCTGTGCTCTCATGAGTAGCCACACAGATAATGGCTTTCAGAACAAGGCAAAAGCTTAGTTCGACAATAGAACCCGTGGAAACTACAAAGATTGTCGCAGAGTTTTGTTTTGAGCATCTGCGATGTCTGCTAAGTGCTTCAGTCCTTCTGGCACACAGCGTGAAACACAATAAATGTCAAACAGCGGGATGATTGCAGATCAGGACTATTCAGCCTGTCAGAGTCTCATAGGTGACCTCGGCCTGCTGCCGCTGGTAGAAAGCTTAAAGGCATACTTTGCATTTTTTAACATTAAACCAAACCCCTTTTTTGGTCTACACGGGGCCGCTGGAACTCATCCAGACTGTTTTTACTTCTATATTGTTAGTGTTACAAAAGTTATGGGCCTGGGATGGTTGCCATTACATTAAAAAGGAATGAAATAGGCTAAAAAATAAAATAAAATATTAGCATAGTTGGTTGTTTGTCATTTATATTTGTAATGATCATAATAATGACCGAACGCCCAACTTTATTTCTCTTAAAACATCTTCATCTAAACCACTTTGGTGGCAGCGTGAAGTTCTCTGAGTTTATGTGTCATATAAATAACTTTAACAAAGGCATATGGCCTAAAGCCCCATGGGGTGAGTGGCTGCACCAGTAAATTGAAACAAGGCTCTTCTAATTTGACTAACTGAATCAACCACAGAGCAAAAGAAATACTGCCAGTTTTTTTAATTATGATTTACAACATAATTTCAGATCAGGCCTGCCCCAATTTTTTTTTAAATGCTCACAATATGGACATAATATGGGGAAAATACTGTAATGAATTCCTTTGATCAGAAGGATGGCAAAAAAAAAAAAATTGAATCCACAACATCCTCAAATTGTAACAAAATGTCTGAATGGCTTCCTCGCTGTTCAGCCCTTGAAAGCCCACAATGTCATATCATAGTGATACTGAGCAGAGGTTTATTCCCAAAGAGCAAAAAGGGGAAGGAAAAGAGAAGATACAGTCTACTTGTTTTCTGAATGGAGAGTTTTAGAAGTACGAACAGGCTTTCATACTGAGACAATGGCTCGTGTCCACCCTGCTGCGCTCTCCCTGCTCCTCTCCCTCCCCATTCTCTGTCTCTCTATCTGCCTCTGAGCAGAAACACACGGCACATCCTGCTCAACACAACACACCAGCCAAAAGTTCACTTCCTGCTCCTCAGCTCTTCTCCTTCACACCAACGCTATTCCCAGGACATGCATTAACAGCCCCTTATATGCTCAAATAGCATAGGGACACACAAACAGACAAGAAAACGCTTCCCCTTTCTATAGATACACGACCTTCCCCCTCTGTCTATCATACACATTAATGCAATTAAGCAAATTTCAAAACAGTGCACAGCCTACAGAAATGTTCAGGCTTTATCTTGCTCTTCCCTCCTGCACAGATTTGAAGTGACAGTGGAAACAATTAATGTTGTTTTAATGTTGGAAGGCAGGGAAAGGAGGACACAGATTTTCATTTAAACCCGTGAATGAGAGGGAGTGAGGGGACTGAAATTCCCACGACCGACATCCGCCCGTTCCTACGTTTTTTTAACACGTATGCACATGTTTCTGGACTGAGAGCCGACCGTTAATAATGTTTCATTTGAGCGACTCTTTTCTTTTTGTTTCTTTATCAACAGAACTGGAAGCATCAAGCAAAACAAGCTTCCTGTGTGTTCGGGTGCATGTACGGCCTCAGTCTGGCTCTCATCGAAAGTTCAATAACCTCTGGATAAAAAAGGTTTAAACAATATGAGGGTAGTTTTCATACTTGTCTAGAAAGCCACTGCTTGTCTGTTTACAGAACTACTCATAATACATCATGTCTTGTGAGCAAACAGAAATTTCAAGCTACACTACACTTGTCACCTAGACTGTGTGTGTGGTTGAAACCAGAGATCAATACCATCATGCTCACTAAAGTGTGGTTCAGAAAATTCACAAACAGCCAGTTAAGATACTACCAAAATGACTTTGCCTTATGTTATAACAATGGAATTGGTCAGACAGACACAAGCCTCCTTGAGGACAACACAATAGAAAATGTATACCGCATAGTAAAAATACAAACAAAAATGTTAATATCACATGTTATCTCTCCACCATAAAACTGTAACAAGAAATGTATAAACACAGTAATAACCACAGGTTTAACACAGGACCACTGCCCTGTTAATAAGACAATAAAAAAAAAAAAAGTGTGTGTGAGTGTGTGCATGTGTGTCTGTGTGTGTGTGATGACATTGTTATGAATTTAAAGGTTTACTAAAGCTTAGCATCCCCATGCTGGGTTCAGTCCTGAGGTAAGCACCAGTTTCACGTGCGCTGCTTTCAGTTCAAATCAAAATGTAAAGTAATGAAAAGTTAAGTGACAGGAAACAACATGTTTGATATGATCATATGCTACAGAAAAGAAGCCCTTAAATTACTGTTACATTTATAAAAAAAAAAAAAAAAAAAAAAAAAAAAACAATCCCAAAAGCCAGGCACATTGTCTTGTTTTTTTTTTTCTTTTCTTTTCTTTTCTTTTCTTTTCTTTTCTTTTCTTTTCTTTTCTTTTCTTTTCTTTTCTTTTCTTTTCTTTTCTTTTCTTTTCTTTTAAGCCTTTAAGATTCACTACGTCTATCACAGTGTATGTATGGCTTTAGTCTTCACATTCACCCACTGAGGTTGGCATTGGCACTATAGTGGTCAGACATTTCTAATCTGAATCAAAGACCAGTAAAAAGTGGAAAAATAAAAAAGAGAAAAGGGCAGCATGTTCTTTGGAATAAACATTCAAAGACAAGAATGTGCCTTCAACCCGCAACCTTTAAGTGCTCTTTTGTTTTCAAGCTGGAGGAACTGCTGGTCAGCCAACACAGAAATATGTCATTCTTTGTTTCCACGTTTGATACCAGCCGGGGAAAAAGGAGGCGAGGCCGGGAGACATTTGCTAGGCTGGGATGTGATGGTAATAAGTGGATCAGAGGGGTAAGATGGCAGGCATGAAATGGGACATCATGCCGGCAAGCAGTGCGAATTGTCCAGGAGAAAGTGAGATTTCACAGGGATTACTGAGCCACAGCAGCTGGGGTGTGCTGTTCACCCGCTGGCTTCCAGGGAAGACCCACAAACCCCTTCTTATGTTCATATCACTGACAGATTAGTTACTCGCTATGTGTGTGTGTGTGTGTGGAGAGGGAGCGTCTATGTGTGTGTGTGTGTGTGGAGAGGGAGCGTCTGGGTGTGTGTGTGTGTGTGTGTGTGTGTGTGTGTGTGTGTGTGTGTGTGTGGAGAGGGAGCGTCTATGTGTGTGGTGTGTGGAGCACTTTTAAGGCAAAGGGCTGAGCACAGCACACACTTTGGCCTGTCAACAGTAGCAGGGCTCCCAGACAACAGACTACAGGGGAGGGAGGTCAAATGAGAGGTCGGACAGTGGAGCAGACCGGCGTCCAACGCAGCGTTTGACTGCTGCCGCTCCAAAATTAATCATCAGGCTGCTGTGAATGGAGTAATTGCTTTTGACAGTAAATGACAGATTTCTGTGTCAGTAATTCTGACCTGGTTCTTGCCTCTGCGGCCTGCCTCAGCTGCATTGCACAGTGTCAGAGGCAACACCCATGCTTCGTCCACACCGTGAGATGAAGCTACACTCATCATGAACAGGGATTAGTGTGTCATCAACTGGGTATGTGCAATCATGTCCCAGTAATGAGATCACAGGGCTGTGCTTGCTGCATCTCAATAACAACTGAAAGCTAAGGGATGTTAGTCGAAATGCAAGAGGAAGTTTTAGCTCAAGAAGGGTTACACGCTGAGTGTAAGGCTGATTACACTACCACTACTGTCACGTAGTATGAGCTTTTATCTGCACAAGTATGCGGGGGAGTGGATTACTTTAAAAAATGTGAAGAAAATAAAGCAGAGGAGACTTTACCGAAATGGTGAAGCAATTGCTCTTATCGTTCAGTTATTTCCTCGCGACTTGGGAAGCAGGAACAGGATGGGGAGAAGCTGGAGGGTGAGATACATAAATTGTCCAGTACCCCAAAAACAGAATAGAAAAAAAAAAAGAAAAAATATATCCTCCCATTACTTTAAAGTCCAGGAGAGTTGGCTTATTCATTTGATAAAAGTTCCGCTCAGGTCTGGACACAAACCCTGAATCTTGTCCTTATGTGCTTTTTCATGTCTTGTACACAGATGATACTTAATAGTACACAGGTTTAGGGTCTGATTGCAACATTTCCTTGCAACAGTTTCTCTTTGGATTTCACCATGGTACAAAAATAAATAAAACAATTTCATTTTGGTTTTCAATTTGTCACTTTGGCTCAATGGCTGAAATTAGAAAAAAAAAAAAAAAAATGTTTGTTTGCATACACTGTACATAAATACTGTACTTCTTTGAGTGAGTGTCCCTTGGTCATGGAATAGCACAGGCCTCCTTTATGAAGGAGGACTTTAAGATACATTAGATGCATAAAAAGGCACTTACAGTCTACACTTTTTGGTGTGCATTAGCAGACCAATTCCTTTTGGCCTGAGTCTGAGGTGCAGAGGAGATACTGAGTTGAGGTGAATGGCTTTAGAATACTGCAAGTTGTGTGTGCACACAGACCTATTGGTGACTGCCATTTATACAGGCCTATCTTAGCTGGGTGAGTAGCGATCAATGGTGCGGACTTCAGACAGGGCATGTGGGGGAGGGGGCAGGGGTTGGCCCAGGACGTCCATCTTGTCGTGGGTGAGGCCCAGGTGCTCTGAGGCCAGTTTGGACAGTGGGTAGAGGCTCTCCATGACCTTTGCATCAGCTACCAGTTGCTGCTGAGCTTGGATGAGAAGTTCATTGGCCTTCTCCTGCTTCAGCCCCAGGTGCTCTGCTGTGTATTTACTCAGAGGATAGATGCCCTCTGAAAAGTCCAGCTTCAGTTTCCCATCTGTGGTCAGGCCCCCTGCAGTCCCTCCACTACTGTGCATCTTCATGTGGCTGATGAGGTTGCGCTGCTGGGCGAACTTCCCCCCACACACCTGACATTCGTAGGGCTTTTCCCCAGAGTGGATGCGCATGTGCTCAGTGAGGCGATATTGGCGGGTGAAGCGCATGCCACAGGAGTCGCAGGCAAAGGGTTTAAGGCCCAGGTGGCTACGCATGTGGCGCGTCATAGTACCACGCTGCGTGAACTTCTTGCCACAGATGCTGCAAGGGTACGGCCGTGTCAGCCAATGGGTCTTCTCATGCTGTCGCAAAGTGGCTGGATCTTTGTAGGACTTATCACAGGTGGAACAGCGGTAGGGTCGGATCATCTCCCCGATGCCTCCTGAACTCAGCGCCTGGCTCGACTTGCTCTCCAGATGGGACAGACTGTTCAGGCTGTTGCTGCTGTTCAGGCTCCCATAACCATTTGTATTACTGCTCATGTTTTTGTTGCTGCTGTTATTGCTGTTTCCCATCTCCCCACCAGAGTTGACGTACAGCTCCTCTTCTGTGTGTGTCTCCACATGTGCATTGAGCTGCTCTGAGCTCGGGAAGCCTTTGTCACAGGGAATGCAGACATACAGATTGTCCCCGAAGCTCTCCGGCTCATACGGCAAGTGGAACCTCCCCATTGGTCCAGAAGGGGAGGGGCGGCCTTCACTGCTGCCTGTCTCCTCTGTGCCTGACCCGCTCTTGTCGTCCGCTCCTTCACTCTCCTCCCCAGCCTTGTGGTGGTTATGATGCTGCTCTCCATTCTCACCCCCCTCCTCCTCATCCTCATCCTCATCCTCATCTTCAGCTGTGTATGACAGCGGCTCATGTTTCACCCAGCGGTAGATGTTGCCCATTTCTCTGCCTGCCTCTCCACCTTCCGTCGGGGTGTCGGGGCTGGGGGGGCACGGGTAGCGATCTGTGCCCTGGGAGCCTGAGCGGTGCAGGTGGGGAAGGTGTGGGCCAAGAGGCTGGTTGAGATGGGGGAAAGGTGGAGGAGTGAGGGAGCTTGTCTGGTCGGTCGACTCCATTTTTTCAGAGGGGAAGGCCCTGCCATTCGTCCCCTGCATGGGACTAGTGCGGCCGCTCAGAGTCTCGTCCCGCTCCTCATCATTGTGAGTGTTTGCCAGATGGGACTGAGAAGGTGCGTGCTGAGACTGGGAGTTGGGGCTTTTCTTGGAGAGGTCAAGGCCATAGTTGGGGGAGCAGTTCCTGTCAGGGTGGGCTGAGCGCCCGAGCTGGGCAGGCAGAGCTGACTGCAGGGACGGGAACACCTGAGAGCCCTGGGTGGAGGTGGGAGCATACAGCTCCCCAGCATGGATGGCGAGTCGATGGGGAACTAGCTCCTCTATTGGTGCTGCCCGGGATGCATGGCTGTTCAAAATTCCTCCTGGAGGGCAAGGCTGAATGACAGGGGTAGAGACCCTATACCTGCCACCGCTCCCTAACCCCATACTATTGGGTCCCATCTTTGGGTAGGGCAGAAATGCAGGACCTGGGCGGGGAGGGTACTTGCCATGTCTTTTCAGCTTCTTTTTGCACAAAGCCACTAAGTCAAGCAGCTGAAGGTAGCTAGCTGCTGCCAGGACAGCCCCTAGATTGGGTTCAGTGGGAGAAGTGGGGTCTCCATCAGTAAGGCGGCCTGTGTAGATGTAGTCCAGAATGACCCTGAAGACCCCTGGACTCACCATCTCGTGGTCGAGGTTGATGAGATTGTCATGGACCACCAAAGATTTCAAGTAGAGGCTGCTGGCAGCCAGAATGTTCTTGTGAGCTCTGAAGAGGGCGTTCTGCACCACAATGATAACATCACATAGGAAGCCCTTGGTGCGCTGGCTGTTGAGCTGCAGGAGGAGATCCCTAGCATGACTTGGAACTTCCATGGCATCCAGCATCGTCTTCAGTCCGCCACCTGCAACAACAGATATCTGTAAAACGTCATGCAGCAGTCAGCATTTCAAGGCACCAAAACACAATCAATGCGTAATTTTTAACACCAGAGTTATTATTATTGGTGTATTTTGTCTTTGAAAAGTTATAATTTACACATCAGACTATATTAGAATATATTTGAGAGGCTGATGTGTCCGAATCTTCGATTTCCAATGACAAATTAAAGAAAACTGTAGGCGTAATAAAAAAATAAAAATAGCCTTTGCGTGAGGAAACATTTCTGAGGATTAATACATATTAATTAATAACAAATTTTCTTTTGAAACACATCACTTAATTTCACAGCATTTTTATGAAAATTCATAATTACAGTTTTATTATTGGATTTTTTTCATCTTGTTTACTAAATTATTTTAATCATCATGTTCTGTTCATAGATTCCACTCAATGGAGTGTGTGCAGAGTGCAGAACTTATGTGTGGGAAGTGCACGCGAAGGCCACTTGGTAAAAGTGAACTTTTGCTAAAGGTGAGCGGTTGCAATGGTTTTGTCATTATCAGAAATTCTAGTCTATGCATTCACTTCCTCTGCAGCGAGCAAAAACAGAGAAAGAAGTAAAGTCAGAAAACCACAGATATATATTTTGTAACTGCTGGCTTCCTGATAAAGTATTCCAGAAGTGGTGTTCAGAGTTTTAAACAAAGCAAGAGATGAATGTTTCACAATTATGATGAACAGCAGGTATAAACCTGTGGTGGAAGGACACATCCAAAAAAAGACGGGTCTTTCAGCTCCTCTTTCTGTCCAGTCATATAAGGAACACGGAGCGCACAGGATGTAAATCAACCTTAGATGATTCAATACTTTATGATGAGGACAGCTCCAGGGATCTAATGCACACACACACACACCCGTACGCACACACATACACACACACTTAAATATCAACACTAATTGTTCCATCAAGCTTAAAATAAACTACATCAGCTGCATGCAAGAAACACCATGTATTGTTCAATCAGTGGCATCTGAGGATAGTTTACATAGGAGATTAAACGTCTCAAACTGTCCCTAAGGGCTTAGTCTCACTGATGGGAAACAAGCAACTAAACAAATATCATGTCATCTGTCTGATCACGGTCTTCCTGACACCAGCTCATTCACTTCTTGTTTATTTCATTCTGTGTACGCGCTCAGCACAAGAAAAGGGAAGTACGAATTGGAAAAAAAAAAAAAAAAAAAAAAATATCTGACAAATGATTTACTAAGGAATTCTGGAGAATCCTGAACAAAAAAAGAAAGTGATGTCTGTTTTTCTGTATCAGTGCATTGCTGCTTAAACTGTCTATTACCAAAAGTCAAGGTCGCTCCTTGCTACAGTTTTAGCGGTGTATTTTTGTAAATGCATGTTCAGCATCAGGCGTGGAAAATGAAAAGTTACTGTCAGTATGACATCCAGCGAGTGATCATGTGGCGAACAGTCATCAATATGAAAGAAAAATACATCTTTTAAATGTAGGATTTTTTTCTAGTTAATCACTTTTGATTTTTATTTTAAAAGGTTCTTCTGTCCTCATACCTGCACGTATGACTTGTGTGCTATTTATTACTTATTATCTGGTCATGAATATCTAAAAAAAAAGACAAGAAACACTATGAATAAAAAGGCAGGTATGACAGGTTTACACTGGATTTACGCTCCATCATGTGTCCAGTTGTCATCTAAAGTGTTTCCACTTCTGGTTTGTGTCTGGCTTTGATTACTCAACGGTCACACTTTACTATAAATTTCAGCGTCGGTCAGATCAAACATGTTTAGAAATGAGTGTGATATGAGGAATGGTCCCAGTCATTTCCATAACTTAACTGAATTTTTGCAGTCTCCATTGCATTAAGGGGCGTTCAGCTCACTGTTGCTGGTTACTGTGCGGCGTATGGTGACACGTTGTGTACTCACACACACAATCAGTGTACATTCCTGTCTCTATGCGGTCTACAGCACCGGATTATACGACACAGTTCAAGTGCATCGTGAAGCAAAATAGAAAATCAAATCTTTTTTAACGTACGGATTTATAAAGACAGACTTTTTTTATTAATATATCCTTGCAAAATTTATAAACTCTTTTTATGATAGAAGAAAAAAAAAACATCAAGCAAAAAGCAACATTTCTATGCACCTGCAATGTGCTGCGCACACAACAAATTGTTTTTGGTGAGATCTTGTGGTAACAACTGTCAGGGTGCTGTGGGTTTCCCATAAACACAGAACGAATCTCTTTTCTCTCGCTGTGATCAGAATGAGTCTCAGGAGCTACAGCTTGACTTCAAAAATATCTGAGCTCATGACAAAATGTAAAAGACCACAGTAAACATGTTTTATAAAACTCTTGATCTGGAGGGCATGTGTAAGCTCACTGCATCCTGTTAGGAAGCCAGCTATGATTGCAGTGATATTTTGTCTGAAAACACATCTTACATCAAGCCTGCTACATACAATATTCCTATAAACACATTCAAAGGCTGCACCACAACTTGTTTTGTGTGTTCTTTGCGTTAAACAGGTTAAATGAAATCCTTTTTCTCGGTTGCACATACAGTCACAGTCGCCCGAGGGAGGGTTAGTCGAGCCCCTCTGGGATGCAGGGCTGTTTTTATCTGATAGGCTTCTCTTTAATGAGCCGTCAACAGGCTGTGGAAAGTTAAATGATGGTGATGTAGTTTACGGAGATGGCACTCAGGTATTTGCATCAGATTAATATTCATAGTCCCTGTGCTTTGTCTGGTTTGTCACTTCTGTGGTTTGGGGTGAAGACGGACGACTAAACGTCCTACCTCTACGTTCAGCCTCAGTCACATAAACACTCCAGACCTCTGAGTCAAACCTCGTCTTGACATTGTAGTTTCTTTCATTTCAATTTGCTGCCCACGCTCATGTACCCTTGTTTATTTTAGAACCCATTTGACCATGTTCGTATATAATCATATGTGCAATTTATGAGGCAACACTGCAGAAGAAAGTCAGTGCAAACCTGTAAGAAGATATTTAACTGTAGTTTTTATATCACTTCAATCCAACTAATTTATTTCTTGTTATTTTTGTGAGTCACAAGAGTCAAATACAGGCTCAAAAAGTTTTACATGCATGAAATAACAGGACTGTGGGTTTTCCATTGAAGTTCAGATGGAGTAGCTGCACACATGAATAAGTGAATAAGTTCAGTTTTAGTCAGGTCAGCAAACATCATGGAGAGTCAGCGTCAGTTTCCTGTTGCTGTAATCGCGCATCTAAAAAATCATCCCACATTTCTAAAATAGTGCCCGAGGCATGAGAGTAACACGCAGCGTCCTAATCTTGATGTGAGCCGAGTTTACTGAGTTTATTTAAACAGGAGATCATGTAGAATCACATTAATATGATATGATAATAATCAACACTTCTGTTGAAGCATTAGCAGTATATACTGACAGTTATCGGTTTATAATAATCGCATGTCGTGCAGGTTTTACAGCAGATTATTCACTTTGAATTAATTTTATTTGCATGACTTACTTTTCTAATGTTTCATCCTGTGCAGTAACAAGCGACAGACTGCACGTTCATTAGAAGATTAAATAAAATCTACCGTATATAAACTTTATTTTCCTGTTTTACCGTTTTATTAAGGAGCAAGGTTTGAAGTTCAGGACTCGTTTTAAAGTTATTGTCGAATGTCTGAGCACTGAGAGCAAGCACAGCATGACGGAGTGCAGTGTACTGAGGCTGTGTGTCGCCGCGGTCTCTGTCTCACTCTCACATACTGTAGGTACATTAAACCGAATCACGAGTGAATCCATCTCTCTGAGCTGCAGCGACTCATCCTTTACCTCCTCCTTATCTCCGTCAAAGAGCAGAAATCCCCTCCAGACACCCACCGTTTTCCGCTCACTCTACTTCAAGGTGCATCACAGCTGTTTCTTATACCAACTCTTTGTGTCTTTGGAGCTGTCAGCAGCACTCAGAAGCATCTCTTTAATGCAGCTATATAAAATCTCGGCCTTTCTAAAGGAAACCAGGAATTCATACACTTTAAAAAAAAAAAAAAAAAAAAAAGGTAAAAAAAAAGAAGCCCCTCTCCCAAATATCTCTATAATATTCTTCAGTGTGACTGCGTTCACCTTAACTCAGTGGTGACATTCTAATACACAACGATGGGCCTATTTTATCATTTGCGATAGGGACTTTATGAGTTTGCTATGACTTCCTTTTTAAAAAAATAATTACTGGATTATAGAAGACGCCGAAGTTCCCTTTTAACAGAAATCCCCTTGAGCCTTTACGTGAAATTTGAGTAAAATAAGATAAAATAAAAAACATGTAAAAAATTTAAACTCGGAGGTCAGATATTGAACATTAAGATTTTGTAGCGTGTATCAGACTTGTATTGTTTAGTTCTAGAATTATTTTTATTTTTATTCTTTTTGGATCATTTTGCTGATTTCGGAAGCAAGGTTTTATCTAAAGTCGCCATTACATCAAAGTTATCCTGAACAATTTAGAAATGAACTGACTTGCACGGGTTTGAAAAAGGCTGGATGTTTTCAACCGACTCTAATTTAATGCGGAAAGAAGAAAAAGTGAAATCTCTTGTCGATGTTATAATTAGACACCAATTTAAAAAAAAAATAAGATCTAAAAGGCTGCATTATAGAAAATACGGTCTACTAATATTTCAATGACACAATAAAAAAAATGATATTTTCTTTCTGTCAGCCGACACTGTGCAGTTTAATGCATAAAAGCCTGAATGTCATCCTTCCCCTCCTCCTGTCTGGGTGCCTGTGTGCAGCATATCAGCTCTTACCTGCATGCCCGATGTCTTCTGCCATCCGATCTAAGTCTCCCTTAATGATCATCTCAGCAGTCTCTAGGAGTCATATCTGACGTTTCAGCTTTGAACTGCCAGCCTCCAACAAACCATGCCAGTTTTCCGAGTGTGTCTGCCAGCTCTTTTTTTATGATTATTAATTGATATGAATTTCTTGTCGCTCCTTAGGTCCGTCCTCCCACCCACTTCCCTCCTTCTCCCTCTTTCTCTCTGTCTATCTGCCCCTCCCCTCCCCTCTTTCTCATCCCCTCCTATTAAAAAAAAAATACGTGCTTAGACCAGCATCAGTTTCCTCCGATTTTTTTCTAGTAATTTCCTTAGCTATTTTTGAGTCGGAGCAATAACGCGCACCGGGATGATAATGGAGCCTCTATGCGCCTTAAGTGTTTTAGCGCCCCGTGTGATGTCAGTCTATAATAAAACTAAAAGGTAAAATCGAGGGCAGGAACTTCAAGTGACCCCGACTTGAACTTCTCAACACATCGTCTTAAAGAGACAGGCAGCCAGTGTATACCTACATATATATGTTCCATATTTATGATCAGGCAGCCCACTTAAACTTTGCAGAGCAGTTTAATGATGGAAATTATTGGTTACATCAAGAGCTGTTAAGGTTTTTCACGTCAAAGACCTTCAAGGAATTATACTTCCCCCAAACATCCACCATATTTAATTTTATTTTGTCCCTGAGGCCAAAAAATGAAGTCGAATTCAATCACAATTTATGTATGTTTTTTGTGTGTACTGTAGGCAATGAATTCACAGTTAACTGTTGGTTTTCTGTACTTGTACACTTCAGATAATCAATAATAATGAAAGGTCTAAATATAGGTGTCCTTCACCTTTTCTGCGGACCTCCCCTGAGAAAATGTGGAGCCTTAAGAAGCACCCCTGGCTTCACTTAGAGAACAATAAGTTAAGTGGAAACTAAAAGCATCCAGGGTTCATCAACCACTTTAAACAATTTAAAACCTCTCTCTCTCTCTCTCTCTCTCTCTCTCTCTCTCTCTCTCTCTCTCTCTATCTATCTCTATCTCTCTCTATCTCTCTCAGGTAAAACACCTGCTATGCAGTAAAAGTCCTCACCCATCATACTATCACATCACCTGGTCATGGAGCTTAAGACAGGACAGGATTATCCTACTGATTGTGATTGTATCCCCTGAAAACTGGCAACATAAGGACATGAGGCCTTTTCTGATAACATTTAAATCATGTGTCTGCCTACTTAAAAACTTTGCTTTTTTTATGTGAAAACATTCATATAAGTAAAAGCAAGCATGGTGCTTGCTTTAACATAGAGCCCGCTATGGACACTGTGCTGTTATTAAAGGAATTGCCTCCCATTTTTTTATTTTTATATTTTTCCACTTTCTGCTGTAGAACTACGAGTCTTCCTATTAAGTATTTAAAAAACATCGAAACTCATTAATTATTTTATGGAGCTTTTATAAATTGCACGTTTCTTTCGTTCTTGACGCCAAACATCTTGTGCTGAAAATCTCCTCCAAAAGACATACAGTGTCTTTGATGATTTAAATATGCACATAACAGGGCTAATAATAAATAATGAAAATGTCCAATGAAGCCGAAGTTACTTTATATAAGATAGTGTAAGCTGTAGGCCGGACATGACCATGCCATTCAGATGCTCAGTCTTAGTCAGGAGTGTCGGATCTAAAATGAAATACACTAGAGAGCATATTAAACTTATATAAACTTCTCGCTGTAGTCCACTAAACGCTGCTCATTCCCACTCGGTGCGATCACACGTCTGCGTGGATGGCATCCCTGCCTCTCCGCCGTATCACAGCCTTACCTCGGACTCATGTCTGGTGCTCTGGCCGTCTGTCTGCTCTCCTTCTCGGCATTCCCTCATGGAGATCTCCGCACTTTCCTCCCAAGTCCAGCTCTTTCGCAAAACTTCTCTTCGTCCTATCTCTCTGCCCGTTTCCCCCTACTTTCGCCCTCTTCCATACACTGTATTTCTCACGTGTTAACGAGACTATCTGACACTTCAGACTGTGTTGGGGTCCGGTCGGACCAAAACCTGCCGGTGGAGACTTTACGCGCACAGCGACACCCAACGGCAGTGAATCCCATTGGCATTATCCAGGTGGACGTGCTGTGTAGTGATTTTAGGGCAAATTATCAGGAAGCAAAGCCACGACCTCTTATTTGTGAGCACCACCTGAACAACACATTAACCCATCAATCTGTTATATCGATTAGGTATTCTTAGAGAAAGTCAGCCTCGTTGTCGGCCAAACCTTTGCAAATTAAAATGAAGTAAAATTACATCAGGTGCATTAAGCTTTAGTGATGAATATTTATTCACAAAAAAAAATTGCAGTGATGAAGGAAGTATTCAGGTCTTTTACTTCAGTTAAAGCAATTCCACAAAAAATGCGGCATTTGAAAAGTATAAATGCAGCACAATGCACAGAGCATTAAAAGTAGAAGTGCTTTTGGTTCTTTAGTCCCTGCTAGTGTTATAATGTTATATCCTTCTGTTATTGAATCAGTATTATGGATGCATTGACATGTAAATTGTACTTTAATGTTGTGATTAATCAGGGTGGAGCTGCTTTATATAGCACAGAGCAATATAATCTTATATAGGCTGATTTTATGTTTCATGTGCAAAGTCTTAATTTGAAAAGGAACTAAAGGTGTACGATAAATGTAGTGGAGTACAAAGTACAATATTTCCCTCTAAAATGTTGCGGAGAAGAAGTATAAAGAAGCACAAAATGTTCAAGTAAATTATGAGTGCAGTATTTGACTAAATGTATTTAGTTACAGTACTTCCAATCATTAAAAATAAGTGTCGTAGCGTCATAAAAAGTCTTAGACTGTCTGTAAATAAGCTGCACTCCACACTGTCATTGCAAATTAAAACATACCATTTGACACTATGTATGACATTTTTTCTATAACCGCCACTCAAGGCTGGGTTATTCCAATTTGTATGATAAAAGTAACTGAGAAAGCAACTCCAGAGAAATGCTGAGTGTGAGTGTGTATACTGCTGCAAATCAGCTTCAGTGTCTCTGAAAAAGTAAATTTTTATTTTTTCTGTACACTGTGGGTTGCAGGGGTCATTACCTTTCTATAAACATTAATTCTAACTCACATTTAATCCACTGTATTTGGACGGATTATGTCAGACAGGCCTCCATCTTCCAGTCTTTCCATAGTCATCCTGAGGCCTTTTGATAGACCGCAGACAGAAATAGATGAAACTAATTATTTTACCATCACTGAGGTCATTAAGAGACAGCCGATGTGATCCAGTGAAACACTTACCCGTCTGAGGCTCGTTCATGTTTGTTTTGATCACAACAGCAGATGACAATCTTATAAAGCATGCAGGCTCTCACTTCCTCTTGAAATTATCCAAGTTCAAGGTGCTGCTGTTTCAGTGAGGTGATCCGAGCCACCCCGAGAGCCCGCCGGAGTGGAGGAAGGTATTGTCTCTCACTTCCCATGTGCTCTTGATGAACTGGTGATAACCTCACAGACAGATGTAGGCAGAGCTTTGCGGGAAAATAGATAGGTTCTATCAAGGATGTGACAGCGTGTTTCAATTCATGGTCCAAAATAGTTTTTCCACCAAGGGAAACACGTAGTGATGTCATATGCTGCCTGTCAGGTAGGCTATGTCTTTTACATTCCTGGATTCTTTCTGTTTTAATTTACACGTCTTTAAAAAATATTAGCATTATGGTTGTTGGTGGTGTTTAAACTCTGCAAGTCCCAGGATGAAAACTGAATTCTTATATTCTATCTATTGGCTACTAATATTGATGTATTGCACATTTTCTTTTCCAAGGTAACCAGGGTTATTTGAAAATGAGGAAATATTTTATGTGTTGGTTCCATTCCATACAGCTAATGGATTATACATATGTAGACTATATGAATGATGTTAGGTTTTCTTGACCCCTATTAAGCCTTTCTGACTTTATAGGGGTCAAGGGTCAAAGCCTGGTGTGTGAATAGTTTACAAAAGCATCATAACCTATTATTAACAAATTTTTTGATATCAAACACCAGTGCAGTGAGGGCAGATAGGGTTAAAGCAAATAAAAAGGTTTTGATGTGGTTAACAGTGGCATGTAACCTATGTTTGATAGAAGGGAAGTGTTTTCTTTTTCTTTTTTAAGTATGATACTGTGAAAGTTATGTTGAATGAATTTGTGGTTCTTTGTGTGTCTCTGGGTACAGCTGTTGTCTTCCCAGACAGAGTTTATCTCGCTAATCAATCAGCCTCCAGAGGCCTGCACTGGACATTAAACTTCAGCCTGTCAAAACACAATTTAACATACCGTAATCTGGAGCGCGGCAAAACCTGAAACACTGAACTTTTAATGAACTGAAAAAGCCTCCAAATTGCAGGTTGTAAGCAATGATTCAATTAAAGCTGCGAGAGCCGAGTCCCGAACACAGGCCCGGGGAGCCCATCCCAGATCTACTTCCCCAAAGACCAACACTCAGTGAGGAACCAGAGCTGGAGATAAGGCAGGCTGAGCAGCTAAATCCCTTAACAGTCGGCTGTCACCCTCTAAATCACACAACCATTCCCACCATTTCTCCAAGTGTGAGCATTGCAGGTTTTACATGTGACATATATCTCGCAGGAGCTTGGTGGATATGGAAACACAATGAGGGGGTGAATACTCTGAATGACTGTAGCCAACTTTTTCAGACATCTGTGAGCAGATATGTTGCAGGGTCACCATGTCTCCAAGGCCCAGACCGCCTTGTTTCAATTTAAGTTTTGAGTGAGGAATATTGCAATCACATTATTATTGCTCCGTTTCTGTCTGCCAGCAGACGGAGCAGGACTGGACAACAGACAGGACAGTATAAATGTAATCTTAACACCTTGGAACAGACCATCTGAGTGTAATGTCCCACACTTTTCTCAACTACTCACACAGGGCCTTTTTGCTCTCTCTTCTGTCTTTCATTCTCATCAATCATCCCTCTCTCCGTTCTTTCTTTCTGTCTTTCTTTCCAGTGGACATGGCCACACATATCTCCAGATGCTTGCTGTGACCGCCCCACCATAC